TGCATACATCTAACTCTAGAGCATATGTAATATAGCATAGTAACCAACAAATGAACACACAGGAGCTCTCTAGGACGGAATCCTAAAATTTGCTGGATGAACAAAATGATAATAATACCCAGATTTGTCAGAAACAGCACAAAATACACTAGGAAAACCTAGTTTTGTTAGTAGTTTTAGAGGTGTCACTGAAATGCATCGGTAAATTTGTATAAGTGGATCCAACTGAATTTCTTAATTAATAACATGTTTTTCGCATAATTCAGACTATTCTAAGGCACTTTTCAGTATTATTTTACTTTAGGACATAGCACACCCTAAAGTTATAACTACTGAAACATTTAAATCTCCCTATTCTGAGCATTTTGAACCCCATTTATATGGGTCGGAAATGGATAATAGCGATACAATTGAATTTAATTGAATTTACTTACTTTTCAGTCTTCGTCTGTGGAGATGTTATCTGCGTGAAACCAAGTTAATTATGCATCACGCATGCACAATATTGACCGACGCCCTCCAGTCGTGACCAATGATGTATCGATATTATCACGCGATTTTTTTTCGACCAATCACATTTGAATTTTTTCAAAGGAAGCAGCCTGGGTAGAGATTTGTATTTCAATGACCAGTTTGACAATGGCCGTGGTGGAGGGTGGGTGTGATTTGTGCTCCTACAGGTTCTACACTACAGCTGCTCGACTATACCCACCTCAAGGACCAAGAAACCACCCTTGCCAGGAACGTGCTGCACCTGTGCCACTAGAAGAAGGGTCCTACGAGGAGGAGGTTGGTGACCCTGAACCTATCCCTGGTCCTTCAACTTCTAACTAAGGTAATGTACTTTCGGACATGGCGCATCCCAAAGTTTTAAACTACTGAAGCATTTAGGTTACGTTAGGTTAGGATAAGTTAGGTTAGGGTAGATGACTCGTTATCGTGTTCTCCCCCACCCAAAAACCCCAATTTCCCAGGCTCTCCCCCATTATTGTTAGGGGGGGAGGGGGGGGGGCAAAAACAAGCAATTAAAAAAAATGAGGGTCAGATTCGCTTAAAACACAACAAAATACACTGGAAAAAAATATTGGTCAACCCCTAGGGTAAGTAAAAATTTACCCACTTTTCTTCTTTGGCATTCCTGTCGGAAATTAATATTTTTAGAGTACTGTATATTAATAGATAAAATGATCAATTTACAGTATCACACCAGTTTTTAATAACATATTAAAATATGTATCTCATAATGTTTACACAATTTTAAGACATTTTTGTTCTATGATATTTCCACCGGAAATTAAGGATAACCAAAATATTAATTTTTCAAGATTATTACTTTCACTCAGTCACAAGTGTCACCATGATTTCTTTACTTATGGCAGAGGTGGTCTGACCCCCTGCTAATGTATCACTCCAGGACTCCGACAGGGGGTCCAGGGGGGCTTGGTTAGGTTAGATTTTCTTGGATGGTTGGTAATATAGTTTGTTATTTATTCTAAATAAGTTCAATTTATAGTATCACACCGGTGTTTATTCCGCTATTCAAAATAGGTTTTTCCTATGTATTTTGATGAGTTTCGAACGAATTTTATAGTAATTTTCACTGGAAATCATGTGTTTTTCAGATACACCCCCTCCCCAACAAACCGTCCTAACGGAATAAGTTGCATTTATTTTTTTAAGAAATAAATTATATTACCAACCAACCAAGAAAACCTAACCTAACCAAGCCCCCCTGGGTGAGGCCATCAGTAAACAAATCATGGTGACACTTGTGACTGAGTGAAAGTAATAATCTTGAAAAATTAATATCTCGGTTATCCTTAATTTCCGGTGGAAATATCACATAAGAAAAATGTCTTAAAATTGTGTAAACATTATGATACATATTTTTAATAAGGAAATAAAGACCGGTGTGATACTATAAATTCACCGATAAAATTACCAACAGTATTACTTGTTTCAAGTGAACAGGGCCTCGAAGTAGAGGGAAAATGTGGAGTAAAATACTAAATATAACACAAACAAACTATAAATTTAAGACGGAAATGCTATAAAAGAAAAGTGTCTAAGAATATTCTATGAGAAAAACGTGTTGGTGTCATATTACCTCTAATTAACACAATGGTTAAATATTACTCTTTACCTCAAATGCAAACCATGTATACGGAGACACAATATCATAATATAACTCTATTTTCTTGTTGGCCATCACAGAGGCGCCGGTAGACAACACCCGCCTTATCATTGTCTTGTCCCTGAGCCTGAGTGAGATAAACACTCACTGGGAGGCACTACTCACTGCCATGGGTTAGGGTCAACTCGTACCAAAGACAATTCATACCCAAGATAACTCGTACCCATCTCACGAGGTAGACGTACCCAAGATTACTTACACTCAATTCAAAAGATAATCCATACCTATTAGTATATATACCATGCATTTTAACTTTATCTATGATTACAAGAAAAAAAGATTATGTAAATCTTGTAGGAAAGTGCAGTGAAATAGGAAGATGTAATGCAGCGCTTTAAATTGGGTGCATCTCATTACATAAGTATTGTGGGGTTCAGGATGTTTGGTTCACACTCAGGATGGAATGGAGAAAGGAAACTCACAATGTGCTCTCTATATACATGTTGTATTGGATGTACAATGCAGCTTGGTGCTGGGAAGGCAGCGTGGTTACAAGCGTGATGTAGAGAGAGCTGGTTGGTGAGGACGCTCAGAGGAGGACAGCTTGTGGGTCGCCATGCTCGGCGGCGGGAGCGAGGGCCGCCAGGCAGGAGGAGGAGCGTGTGGGGTATGAGATGTTTGGTTCACACTCAGGATGGGGTGGAGAAAGGAAACTCACGATGTGCTCTCTATATACATGTTGTATTGGATGTACAATGCAGCTTGGTGCTGGGAAGGCAGCATGGTTACAAGCGTGATGTAGAGAGAGCTGGTTGGTGAGGATGCTCAGAGAAGGACAGCTTGTGGGTCGCCATGCTCGCCAGCGGGAGAGAGGACCGCCAGGCAGGCGGAGGAGGAACGAGGGCCGCCAGGCAGCGGCGGAGGAGGAGGTGTTGCTGGCTGCGGAATGTGCTCTTCATGGTATGTTGGCTAAGGCAATGCAGCTTGGTGCTGGGAAGGCAGCATGGTTACAAGCGTGATGTAGAGAGAGCTGGTTGGTGAGGATGCTCAGAGAAGGACAGCTTGTGGGTCGCCATGCTCGCCAGCGGGAGAGAGGACCGCCAGGCAGGCGGAGGAGGAACGAGGGCCGCCAGGCAGCGGCGGAGGAGGAGGTGTTGCTGGCTGCGGCTGTAGGTGGAAAAGAGAGATCACCACGAGGTCAGGTCTTAAATAGCGGGGGTAGGCGTGGCTTAGCAGTTGACCCCCGCTCCGTGGTGTATGGCGGCGCTGGTTGACCCAGACCACGAGGCATACACTGGGGAATTGGTGGGGTCGGCTAGGCAGCGACAAACAGCGTTTGTAGGGGAGAATTCCACTACAATACTCCCCCTTCCCTCCAGGCGGTGTAGGAGACTTGTTGTCTGCAGGGTTGCATAGCACATGTGAGGCAGAACGGGCGGTGCATGCCTCATGCGATACAATGGCGATGGCGTGGATGAGCCGGTCGCTGGGGACAACTGTCTATATACACAATATCTGTGGGAGTAGAGAGGGAGAATAGGGTGTGTGTAGGCGACGAATGTTGTGCTTCCCTCACGACAGGTACAGAGTCGTCAGATGCGCCTGCTGGGGCGTGTGGGCCCGGGTCAGGAGCAGGGGCTGCGTCAGCAGAAGCGGACGAGAGCTCGTGACAGCAGCCGGGTCCACGACAGCAGCAGGGTGCAGGACATTAGCAGGGAGTACCTGAGGGAGAATAAGGGTGTGTGTGTCCGCACCAGGAACAGAGGCCACCGCGCGTAGGGCACAGTCGCGTCTGAGGCAGGACGGTGTGCTGGGTCGGTAGACGTGGTGTGTTGGGGCAGGAAGAGGAGTTGGTGTTCGCTTAGAGTAGCAGAGCTGTTCTTAGGTTGTTCCAACCTTGCAGAAACAGTAGTTGTAGAGCCGATGAGAGCTGCTTCTGATAAGCCAGTCTTCCATGTTGCTTGAAGACTGGGAGCGTGATCGGTTTCTCCTCCATCCTGTGTGAGTGAATTTCCGGGGGTCACCTACTAGGGGTATGAGATGTTTGGTTCACACTCAGGATGGGATGGAGAAAGGAAACTCACGATGTGCTCTCTATATACATGTTGTATTGGATGTAATATGCAGCTTGGTGCTGGGAAGGCAGCATGGTTACAAGCATGATGTAGAGAGAGCTGGTTGGTGAGGACGCTCAGAGAAGGACAGCTTGTGGGTCGCCATGCTCGCCAGCGGGAGAGAGGACCGCCAGGCAGGCGGAGGTTCGAGGGAAGGCCGCCAGGCAGCGTAAGTGAGTGAGGAGTAAAGTATGGCTGCGGAATGTGCTCTCTATATACATGTTGTATTGGATGTACAATGCAGCTTGGTGCTGGGAAGGCAGCATGGTTACAAGCGTGATGTAGAGAGAGCTGGTTGGTGAGGACGCTCAGAGAAGGACAGCTTGTGGGTCGCCATGCTCGCCAGCGGGAGAGAGGACCGCCAGGCAGGCGGAGGTGTTGCTGTCTGGTTGGTGTAGGTAGAAAAAAAGAGATCACCACGAGGTCAGGTCTTAAATAGCGGGGGTAGGCGTGGCTTAGCAGTTGACCCCCGCTCCGTGGTGTATGGCGGCGCTGGTTGACCTAGACCACGAGGCATACACTGGGGAATTGGTGGGGTCGGCTAGGCAGCGACAAACAGCGTTTGTAGGGGAGAATTCCACTACAAGCGAGGACCGCCAGGCAGGCGGAGGAGGAGGAGGTGTGTGTGTTGCTAGCTGGTTGGTGAGGACGCTCAGAGGAGGACAACTTGTGGGTCGCCATGCTCGCCGGCGGGAGCGAGGGCCGCCAGGCAGGAGGAGGAGGAGGAGGAGGTGTGTGCAGGGCCAGTTTTAAGCCTATTTGACCAATTTAATCAAATTGGGCCCCGCGCCGCAAGGGGGCCCCGCACACACGTGTGTTAGTTTTAAACTGTATACGATATTGGTAAAAAAGCTAACGTTAGACACAAAATCATTGTTATTGTCATCAAAATAATAGATCCCAGTCACGTGCGAGAATTTTCTGTTTTGTCAAAAGTCCAAGGGAATTAACTCTGGTGTTGGTCCACACGCCCTGACTTTCATAATAATTTACAGGAGCGGGAAGGGTGCGAGCCAATCAGAACACAGTTTTCACTCTCTCCCAACGCTTGGACGGTGTAAGTGTGTCGGGTCTGTATTTTTGGCTGTTTTCAGGGGGAAATACGAGTGATAACGTTGTGCTGTGTATATCAGCATGTCCTGTAATAACCAGTGAATCAGTGATCATCGTCAGACAGTGACAAAACTCCGGTCGTTGCCATAGACATGATTTGAGATGAGTTTTGCAGTGTTGACCTTGAAAATGAGAAGCATGGCCACTGGGTGGCGACCGAGGCGTGGTTTGTTTATAATTTTTGTGCTGGACAGTGATGATAATTGTTGATCCTGAGTACATGATTGATAGCGACAATAGCGATGATGAATCAGAAAATGACTTGTGATTCTGAGCACATGCAAGCACATACTATAGCTCTATGTAGGTAACCGAATCTTTGCGTACGTAGCGGTGTGCTATCCATGCCAAAGTGTTATATGTCCGGTTAAAGCTTTTTTTGTCCGGTGAAGTGGTGATAAACATTGTGTGGTTTTTATTTTATAGGATCAGTGTTTCGATTTTTTGTTTTAATTATAGCATTCATATATGCACATACTTATTTTTTAAGTGCCAGGGACTTCTCATTGTGAATAATTTTGTTTGTTTTTTCATTTCAGTTTATTATATGTCATTTCTGAAAAGATAATATAAAAAGCCCTTTCATCATGGCAAGCACAAGCAGAGATAGAGGCAGAGGGCGTAAGTATTTAAATGGCAACCAGAAGCGAGCACTGGCAAAGGCAAAGGTGCTTGAAAATGAAAAACATCGAGGTGCTATCAAAAAATTTCTTGTCACTCCACCTTTGAAACGCCCATGTATTGAAGATGAAGAAGACAAAAACGATTCAGAAAATGACAATACAGCCATTAGTCCAATTACAGTTGATGAATACAATGAAGAAATTGATATTCAGTTTGAAAAAGTTCAAGTTGACACACAGACACAGTTGAATCAAACTGAAGACGATCTTAATACAACAGAAGACAGTGCCAAAGTGAGAAGTCCACTTATAGCTAAAGAAGAGTCAGAAGGCCAAGCCCAAACATCAAACAGTGATGGATCATCCACAAGTACAGTTGTAATTAACATTAATGATGACCCGGCAAGTTGGCCATCGAATATAAATAGAAATATAAGAGATTATTTAACAATGAAAGGGCCTCCTGATATTCCAGTGAACAAGTTTCCACGAAATGAAAAGGGATTGTGTTTTTCTAAGTTTCACTGTATTGACAAAGAACGTGAACTAACTATTAATAAACATGCAAAGTACTGGCAGCAAGTATTCAAAAGGCTAGTGGCAATAGTGCAGTTTCTTGCTGAGAGAAATCTAGCGTTAAGAGGGACAGAAGAAAAAGTTGGTAATGAGAGTGTACACAATGGAAACTTTTTAGGTTTAGTGGAGCTGTTTGCAAAGTTTGACTCTGTTCTTGAAGAACATTTACGTAAAGTCAAGGCCAACGAAATTCATAATCACTATTTAGGAAAAGATACTCAGAATGAACTACTAGACATTATGGCTACAGCTGTTTTGAATGAGATACTGAATCGCGTAAAAGCAGCTAAGTACTATGCCATAATTTTAGACTGCACACCCGACTTGAGCCACCAGGAGCAAATGTCTCTAACGATCAGGTATGTTTCTGATGGCAACTTG